CGTCCCACAATAGTCTTCGAAACAACGTTCAAGAAGGCTCAGGAACTCTCGGTAGCTTCAAGGGGCAGTCCTAGGGCTTCCTTGGGCCGTCTTGGAGAATTCAAAAGGCACCGAAACCCGCCCACGAGGGCCTCCGAGGCTCCCAAGAGGGGCCCATGACCGCATCCTCCGTCTATTCTTCCCCCCCCCTCCTCCGTCTCTTCTTCCCCTCTCCAGGGGTGCGTGCGCTCTGACAGGAACTTCGAGGGGACTCCAACCGTGGCGGCAGCAGCCTGGAGGCGCTGGACGCGTGCAGAAACCGGAGGAGGAGGAGGAGGAGGAGGAGGAGGAGGAGGAGGAGGAGGAGGAGGAGGAGGAGCAGGAGGAGATCCTCGACCCTTCGGCCTTCGGCCTCCCAGCCTGGGGCCGACGACTGCGCCGACCCCCGCGCGCCGGAGGCCGGCGGGGCGCGCCGCAGAGAGGGCGGGCGCGCGCTCCTCGCCGAAGTTCAGGCAGCAGCTCCAGCAATGGCGCTTCTCGGTCCTGTCGGGGACGCGCTCGCCAGGGTCGTCCCAAACCGGCGTCGGCCCAGGGCCCTGCCGTGAAGCCCGGCTGGCCGCCCGGTACAGGCCTCGGAAAAGATAGCGGACACTCATGCCACATCCATCTGTGAACGCCTCCCCCTCCCCCCAGTGTTCAGAGTTGGCGGTGGGTCTGATGAGTTGCACCTCGACCGCAGCCTCCCCCGCGCGTGCCAACCTTGAGTTTGGGGGGTAATTAGGGGGGTTGTTCACTAATTGTTTCCCTCTACCGTAGCTCCCGAGCCCGGGTCGGCGGAAGGCGTCCGAAGGGGATCGGCTCGGCCGACCACCGCCGGCGCTGACCCCTTGAAGCTGCGGGTTCGCGCCGTGTCGACCCTGGCGTTGGCATCTGACACCGCGGGGATCGCTCCACCTTGAACGATCGGCCGTTCCCAAAACGTCAGGTCGCTCCACATCGACAGAGACTGGGCCGCCGGCGGCGCTCTGCAGCGCTGCAGGCCGGCGGCGGGGCCGCCGCCGGCCGACCCGAGGCGAGCCGGCCGTGCGCGAGCCCCGATCCTGGACCACCCCCAGCTGCCCGGGTGGTGGTACTCCTTGTACCGGCGGTCCTGCGGCCCCGAGCGGGGGCGGGGGCAGGCTGGCGCGACGGCGGCGGCGACGGCGCGATGGGGTCCCGGCAGGTCCTGCGCCGCCCGCGGGCTCCCGGGGCGCTCTTCCGGGGGCCCTGGGAGCCGCAACGCGACGACGCGGCTCGGGGTAAAGAGCCCAAGGGTCCAGAGACAGCCCAGGGGTCCAGAGACAGCCCACGGGCAGGGCCCCGGAGACAGCCCAGGGGTCCAGAGAGCTGTTTCCGCCAGGACCCTTAAAGTCGGGCGCGTCCCCTTACAGGGGGATTTTCGACGAAACATAGAAAATACTCAAAAAAGACCCAAAAGAATTCCAAAAATACTCAAAAAATAGTCCCCAGATTATTTTGTGCTGTTTTCGAATATTCCCCCTGTAGAGGGACAGGCCCGACTTAACAGGACCCCCATCCCTCATGCCAGACGGTGAGGGTAAGGTTAGGCATGTGGAGGCAGGGGAGTGCGAAGGGAGGGCGTGGAGGGACGGTGCAGGGAAGAGGGAGAGGGAGAAGCGGGGGGGGGGGGGGGGGGCAATTCTGTACTGCTCTCTTGCTTTTCCTGTTGCCCCCCCCCCCCTCTCACTCTCCTCTTTCTCCTCCTTTTACTCCTCCTCCCCCCTTCCCCCCGCGCCCTTCACCTCTCGCTTCCCGCCTCCTGCGGCCCCACCTTCCCACGCCCCCATCCATCCTCCCTCGTCGCTGCCTCTCCCCCGCCGGTCGCTTGCTCCACCACCCAGCCCGCCCCCTCCTTCCCCTGCTCCTCCTCTGCCCCCTCCTCCCCCATGTGATCCTCCTCCTCCTCCTCCTCCTCCTCCTCCTCCTCCTCCTCCTCCTCCCCACCCGCTGGGGCGCCGGGGAGGCCCGCCTGCGTGGTGAGCGACAGGTTCGGCCGGAAGCTCTCGTGCTGGATGGGGAAGCGGGCCAGCTGCGTGGCGGGCGTGGGGGAGGAGGACTAAGGGAGGGAGAACTGGAGGAGCACGAATGGACGGGGGATGGAGGATGACTTATGGTCCTCCGGCTGCCCGGGTCCGGGGTCCCGGTCTGGGGTCCGGGGTCCGGGGTCTGGGGTCCGGGCGCGACCCGGGCGGCCGGTGGTCCATGTGTGGGGTTGGTTGGCTGGGTCTGCCTGGGGAAGGCAACGTGTCGACTGGGCAGGGCTACCAAAGGAGGGACGGAGGGAAGGAGATTAAGAGAAGAAGGATAAGGAGAAGGAGGGGGAGGAGGCGGGGTCCGCCGTCCGCGCGAAATCGATTCGCGCGAAAACTGCGGGCCGTTCGAAAGAAATCCGCTGGGCGCGCGCGCGAAAAGAACCCACGGCAGCCCAGAAGATGGCGGGAACCATGATTTTGGAGAGACCCAGGCCGGAAAAGCCCGAAATCGTGGTTCCCAGCTCTGGCTGGCGCCCCTGGGGCCCACGGCGGCGGAAAAACCGGAAATCGTGGTTCCCAGCTCTGGCTGGCGCCCCTGGGGCCCACGGCGGCCCCGAGGATGGCGGGAACCATGATTTTGGAGAGATCCAGGCCGGAAAAGCCCGAAATCGTGGTTCCCAGCTCTGGCTGGCGCCCCTGGGGCCCACGGCGGCCCCGAGGATGGCGGGAACCATGATTTTGGAGAGAACCACGATTTCGGGCTTTTCCGGCCTGGATCTCTCCAAAATCATGGTTCCCGCCATCCTCGGGGCCGCCGTGGGTCCCAGGGGCGCCAGCCAGAGCTGGGAACCACGATTTCGGGCTTTTCCGGCCTGGATCTCTCCAAAATCATGGTTCCCGCCATCCTCGGGGCTGCCGTGGGCCCCTCTGCTGTTCTGCTGCTGCTGTCTGCTGTTCTGCTGCTGCTCTCTGCTGTTCTGCTGTTCTGCTGCTGCTGCTGCTCTCTGCTGCTGCTCTCTGCTGTTCTGCTGCTGCTCTCTGCTGCTCTCTGCTGCTGCTGCTCTGCCTGCTTCTGCTGCTGCTCTCTGCTGTTCTGCTGCTGCTCTCTGCTGCTCTCTGCTGTTCTCTGCTGTTCTCTGCTGTTCTGCTGCTGCTGTCTGCTGTTCTGCTGCTGCTCTCTGCTGCTCTCTGATGTTCTCTGCTATTCTGCTGCTGCTCTCTGCTGTTCTCTGCTGTTCTCTGCTGCTCTCTGCTGTTCTCTGCTCTGCTGCTCTCTGCTGTTTTCTGCTGTTTTCTGCTGTTCTCTGCTGCTCTCTGCTGTTCTCTGCTGTTCTCTGCTGCTCTGCTGCTCTCTGCTGCTCTCTGCTGCTCTCTGCTGTTCTCTGCTGTTCTCTGCTGCTCTCTGCTGTTCTCTGCTGTTCTCTGCTGTTCTCTGCTGCTCTCTGCTGTTCTCTGCTTCTCTGCTGCTCTGCTCTGCTGTTCTCTGCTGTTCTCTGCTGTTCTCTGCTCTGCTGTTCTCTGCTGTTCTCTGCTGCTCTCTGCTGTTCTCTGCTGCTCTGCTGCTCTCTGCTGTTCTCTGCTGTTCTCTGCTGTTCTCTGCTGCTCTCTGCTGCTCTGCTGTTCTCTGCTGTTCTCTGCTGTTCTCTGCTGTTCTCTGCTGTTCTCTGCTGTTCTCTGCTGTTCTCTGCTGTTCTCTGCTGTTCTCTGCTGCTCTCTGCTGTTCTCTGCTGCTCTCTGCTGTTCTCTGCTGTTCTCTGCTGTTCTCTGCTGTTCTCTGCTGTTCTCTGCTGTTCTCTGCTGTTCTCTGCTGCTCTCTGCTGCTTCTCTGCTGCTCTCTGCTGTTCTCTGCTGCTTCTCTGCTGCTTCTCTGCTGTTCTCTGCTGCTTCTCTGCTGTTCTCTGCTGCTTCTCTGCTGCTCTCTCTGCTGCTCTCTGCTGCTTCTCTGCTGCTGCTCTCTGCTGCTCTCTGCTGCTCTCTGCTGCTCTCTGCTGTTCTCTGCTGTTCTCTGCTGCTCACTGCTGCTCTCTGCTGTTCTCTGCTGCTCTCTGCTGCTCTCTGCTGCTCTCTGCTGCTCTCTGCTGTTCTCTGCTGTTCTCTGCTGGTCTCTGCTGCTCTCTGCTGCTCTCTGCTGTTCTCTGCTGCTCTCTGCTGCTCTGGATTGGTTTTCGCTCGGTTGGTTTTCGCTTGAACGGATTACCTTTTCGCTCGAACGAGCGTCTTTTCGCTTGAACGATCCACCCTCCTCAGCACAGCACTGCTTAGCTCAGCACAGCACAGCTCAGCACAGCACAGCACAGCAAGCGCACCACAGTGCAGCAGAGCACAGCACAGCACAGCACAGCACAGCTCAGCACACAGCACGTTGACACACAGCACGTACACAGCACAGCACAGCACAGCTCATCTCAGCACAGCATTGCACAGCACAGCACAGCACCTCAGCACAGCACGCCTCAGCACAGCACAGCACAGCACCTCTGGACACCATAAGGGGTGCGCAGCAAGGGATCTCTGAGCGCGGCCGCTATCCACGACGCTGTCGAACAACCTGCGCAGGGGTGGTCTCTCTGCGCGGCCGCTATCCACGACACTGTCGCAAAGCCTAGCACGCGTGGCACTTTCTCTGGACACCATAAGGGGTGCGCGCGGGGTGGTCTCTCAGCGCGGCCGCTATCCACGACACTGTCGCAAAGCCTAGCAGGCGTGGCACTTTCTGGACACCATGAGGGGGTGCGCACGGGGTGGTCTCTCAGCGCGGCCGCTATCCACGACACTGTCGCCAAGCCTAGCAGGCGTGGCACTTTCTGGACACCATAGGGGGTGCGCAGGGGGTGGTCTCTCAGCGCGGCCGCTATCCACGACACTGTCGCAAAGCCTAGCAGGCGTGGCACTTTCTGGACACCATAGGGGGTGCGCACGGGGTGGTCTCTCAGCGCGGCCGCTATCCACGACATTGTCGCAAAACCTAGCAGGCGTGGCACTTTTTTTTTCCGACGGAGACGCATCAACCTGGCGCGCATTTATCTGGTCGATTGCCCACGGGTGTGCACGCAAGGCGAAATGAAATAAACGATCGCCTCCGCGGTGAAGAGAAAGAAGCTGCACTGGAGGGGTCTCGCGCCAGAGACACAACAACCTCGCGCGCACTTATCTGGTCGATTGCCCAAGCAAGGTGGAGCGACCCGCTCTAAAAAGTAAAGCAAAGCATCGAATTCACTGGGCTGACCGCAGGCGGACGTCACCTGCAAGCCAGCATTGCAGCCTGACGCGCCTTGGCGCGAACGGCACACATACTGAGGCGCCGACCAATTCCCTTTCTGAACATTCGAACGCCAACAATGAAACTGCTCGGCTGAGATCTCCGGCGAAACTGCAATTCATAGAATAATCGGGCCTACATTAATTCCATGACGCGCCCGCGCCTGGAAGCCCAGAAGCTGCGGCGGGCAACCCACCCAGCCCAGGTCGAAGGGTCGCAGCTCTCCCTGGCTTCCTGTAGCCAGGCGCACAGCTGGTCTTTGAGCATGGCCGTCTCGTTGACGAAGAAGTCGTCGTACAGCAAACTGCCATTCAGGACCGAAGTCTGGAGCTCTGCCTCAGTCATCGACATCCTGATGTGAGCGAAACGGACTTTGATGTCGCCCTTCGTATACGGCTTGCAGCTGGCACGAAAGTGCGTACTGTTCTGGTAACAGTGGGAAACCCGATGGACCCAATCATGAGCAACACGGCTCGGTTTGGAGATGACCTTCAACACCTGGCCAGTTGATTCCTGGTGGTATTTCGTCTCCGTGAGCAGGTGGTGCAAAGTGTTGGGTGGCTTTACCCACCATTCTGACTGCAGCTGGAAGGTGTCGTGCAATTCGGAATCGACCAGCCTTTGCAGCTCCACTGCAAGCGACGCTCCAGCGATGTGCCAGCCTGGGTCCTTGCTCCATTGCGGGACGTACAAGAACTCGTCAAAATCGATGTCTCTGTAGAGCATCGTCCGGCCCTTGAGCCTGTTCACGCAGTCGTTCTGGTTTCGCTCATGGTGCGTCCGGTGGTGCTCGTGGTCACTGAACACCACCGAGCACAGTCCGCGCGACACAAACGGCGCCAAGAGGCGGAGGGCGAGATCCCTGTTCGGGGGGCTGAGATACACGATCACCTGGTTGACTCCGCGGCGCAGATGATACAGTATGTTCTGCGCCATGCCGTAGAACCCGTTCGCCCCAGGGTTCTTCGGATTGAAGTACGGCGGCACGCAGTAGCACAGCGTTATGTTGTTCGGCCTCTGCGGCGACGGCAAGCGGGACGGTCGGTGGCAGCTGGTGAGATTCGCAACCTCGGGGCCCGTGCTGCTGTTGACCCGCAGCCCAAAGCGGAGGCACGCCCAGTCGTCCTGCCCCTCGGTCCAGGCAGCGTGCTCGGCTTCGGGCATGTCCGCGTGCCACGAGAGATGATTCGGACCGCGTATCTTCCGGACAGGGCTGGTCGCGCCCGAGGCGAAAACGACCCAGTGGCGCCACTTGTTGGGGTTCTTCTGCGCCCAGTGCGTCAGCGGCTCCAGGAGAAGCACTATCCCTGGGCCCTGCTCGCGATAGCGCTTGGCAACTGGCACGGCGGACCACACGCGCAAGCCGCATTTGCTTTCTCCATGTTGTACGTCGCCGATGCCGCTCTCTCCGATCGTAGCCAACAAGCCCACCCTTGCGACGGCGGCGCTCCTCTCCGCGAGCAGCTCCTCCCGCGCCCTCGAGCCCGCGCCCTGCTCTGGCGCGCCCTCGGGGCCCACGGCGCCGGCAAACCCCTCCGATCGGGGTGGGCCCTCCTCCGGGAGCCTCTCCCGCGCCGACGCGGTCGCGCTCTCTTCCGGCACCGTCTCGGGCCCAACGCTGTCGGCAACCCTCTCATGCCAATGCTGATGAGGTGGGCGCCCTGCCGCCGAGCCCGCGCCTCCTGCCTGCGCCGCCTCTGGCCCCGCAGCGCCGGCCGCCCTCCCGGGCCGAGGCGGCCGCTCCGCGGGCGGGCCCGCAGCGGGTGGCTGCTCCAGGAGGCCAGCCAACCGCTGCGAGCTCAGGAGCGCGAGGGGCAGCAGGCTCACCACCGTGGCCGTCATGAAGGCCATCCGCACCACGGGGCGCATGGCGCCGCGCCAGGCGGGCTGCGAGGCACGGGCTGGACGGCGACCGCAGGCCAATGGGCACGCCTCGACCCGAGCGGCCTTGAGCCAAAATGGCTACGGAAGCAGGCGTGGCACTTTCTGGACACCACAAGGGCGTGCGCAAGGGGTGGTCTCTCAATCCGCGACACCGCCGCAAAGCCTGGCAGGCGTGGCATTTTCTGGACGCCACAAGGGGGTGCGCTGGGGGTGCGGTTGGTATCCATTTCAGGCTCGCAACGTGTGGCAGGCGTGGCACTCTCTGGACGACACAGGGGGTGCGTTGGGGGTGCGGTCGCTACCCGTTTCGGCCGCGCAAAGCGTGGCAAGCGTGACACTTCCTCGACGCCAGAAGGGGGTGCGCTGGGGGTACGGTCGCTATCCGTTTCGGGGTCGCAACGCGTGGCAGGCGCGGTCTTTTCTCGATGCCACACGGGGTGCGCCGGGGGTGCGGTCGCTATCCGTTTCGGCCTCGCAAAGCGTTGGCAGGCGTGGCACTTTCTCGACGCCACAGGGGGTGCGCTGGGGGTGCGGTCGCTATCCGTTCCGGGCTCGCAAAGCGTTGCAGGCGCGGCAACTTCTCGACGCCGAAAGGAATGCGCTGGGGGTGCGGTCGCTATCCGCTTCGGGCTCGCAAAGCGTGGCAGGCGTGACACTTCCTCGACCCCACAAGGGGGTGCTTTGGGGGTGCGGTCGCTATCTGTTTCGGGCTCGCAACGCGTGGATGGCGCGGCGCTTCTCCTCCCCGCCTCTCCTCTTGAGTGGCGTCACCAACGGTATCGGCGGGGCAACGGCCACCATGCTTCACTTCACCTATCATCAATAATATAAGTATGTATTCCACCCCCCGAGACCAGGGACAATTTTTTATCTGAGAGGCTCAACTTCCGCCAGGACCTGAGAGACAGCAAGCGCCGACATACACATAAATATGAGAGCGGGCGCCGGCCACCAGATCATTAGGGAGCAGCACTGTGAGAGCAGGGTGGTACGCGGGTGGGAGGCTTGAGCAGAGGTAGCCACATACGGTGGACGGCTTTACAAGTGAGCTGCAATACGAACTCGTGTGGAACACTGCAATGTATTCCACCCCCCCGAGACCAGGGACAATTTTTTATCTGAGAGGCTCGACTTCCGCCAGGACCTGAGAGACAGCAAGCGCCGACATACACATAAATATGAGAGCGGGCGCCGGCCACCAAATCCGCACTGACAGAAAAGAGAGCCAACTTTACTTGTCCACTGGCCCGGAGGGCCGCATGAAAACGATTCAAACCTACTAACCTACCAGAGGTGACTGGCCATACCTTGCGCCTTGAGCGCGACGAGAGCATCAGAGAAGGCCAGCGCTAACGCCCGACAGAGCCGAGGAGGGTATGGTTCAGCCACCTCTATCCAAAACCGACCCTCCGAGTTTTTACCCTGGAGGTTCTGGTGAGGCCTATGAGAGGCCGAGCACAAATTATTCCTTCTTTTACACAGCTTTTCAATCAAGGCCAAATCAATCAGGACGCCCAAAAACTTGGTCCTTTTACGCCAGGGCGCCCCGAATTGGCAAAAGTCGGTTGAGACAACCTGAGAGGAGGAGTTACGAGCGAGGGAGACGACGGCAGGCGCAAGCCAAATCCAACTGGTGGCGGGGTTCTCCATTGTGCCCGAAATCCTCATCCTCCGACAGACATGCAAACACGACGCGGTGAAGGACACGAGGGTGTTTCCCAGATCGACTTTGGCCTGGTCAGCTGCAGACAGGCCTCTGAGCCCCATGACGAGATCGTTGGACCTCAGCGGCGGCGGGCCTGGGGGGATGTCTCGCGCTCGAGACCACGACGAGCAAGGGACGCCGAAATGCACAGCTAATATCGCACGACCAAGAATCCACCCGCGAATCAGTGAGCGCTTCGAAGGGGAGGTGAGATCGTACTGGTCGCCATACTTCACATCCCAGGCAAGCACGTGAAAACCCTGCGCCGCCATCGCTCGGCCAAGCCGAGCAGTGCCTGCGAACACCTCCAGGAAGATCCGCATCCTCAGAGGGCGCGGAACCCGCGTGGCCGCAGCGATCCGAAGAGCGCCGCGGGGAGGTACCTGAGGCACCAGCGTGCATGGCCCTGGAGGCAGAGCGGCAGCTTGGCGAACTCGCTGCCCAGCCTGCCCCCTCCCTCGTAGCGCCTGGCGCTCGCGTCTGTGCGCCACCTCCCCCGGCGCTGCGTCCCGACCAGCGTCCTGCGCTGCTCGGCGAAGTCGCGGCTGGCGCCCGAGTGCCGCAGGATGCACGGCGGCGGAGGGCGCTGCAGCAGCAACTTTGCGCCGGCCATCTTGAAGCACCGCGCGAACTCGGCCTGGCTGAAAGCGAACAGGGGCTCCTGCGGGTCGCGGCCGAGCACGAGACGCTGGCAAAGCGGCGCTAGCCACTGGTCCTCGTCCAGGTCCAGCAGCAGCGACTCGTCGAACTCCCCCGTCTTGCTCGGCAGGCTGCCCTCGTCCTCCAAAGGGTGCAGCACCAGGCTCCAGCGGGCGAGCCCGCGACTGCCACCCACAGCAGGCGGCGCCAGGTGCTCGACGCGCACCGTCCTCCAGTCGCCGGGTCTCATCAGGAACACGAGGGGCAGCATGGTGCACAAGGCCATGTCCCAGCGGTCCATCACCATCAGCTCCATCGCGATGGCAAACACCACCTCGGCTGGCAGCGGCAGGCGGCTGGCGGCCGGCGTCAGGTTTCGCCAGCCCTTCAGCGCCTGCCGCGAGAGGGGAAGCCCGTGCCCCCCCACGCGGCCCAGGCGAGGGTCCGCCCAGGCGATCGCCGCCATCAGGTTCGACCCGCGCCAGTGGTCGTAGCCCTCCATGTACTGCTCGTTCATCCAGTCGCTCACGTCCTGGTCGAACTGGCCCACGGCCCCAGCACCCAGGGGGCCGCTCGGGCACGGCCTGCGACTCAGGCCGCTGAGCCCGAGCCACTGGTCCAGCTCGTCTAGGAACTCCGAATAGCGTCGGCGCACTGCTTCGGTCCGGACGGACCGAGCCTGCAGATAACGCTGTCGGCCTGCCACCGGCAGCCGCAGCGCTCGCCGCGCCGCCTTCCGCTGGGTGGCCGCGCTGCGCAGCAGCCGCGGGCATGTCCTCGCAGGGCCCGACGGGCGCCAAGGCGGCGGGCCCGGCCAAGAGCCTGCCGTTGCCGCGCTCGGCGGCGAGGACACCCTCGGCCGTCGCCGACCCAGCACTGGGCAGGCCCGCACTGGGTAGGTGAGCGCGGGCGACCTCGGGCCCCCACGCGGCGCCGCAGCTGTCACCCGCGGCGCAGTGGTCGCTCCGGGCGTCGACCTTGCCAGCAGAGGCGCCTCCGTGCCCAGAGTGGCCGAGGCCCCGCGATGGCCCGTCAGCATGGTTCCACTGGCTGGGGAACCAGCGGCCCGAGAAGACCGCGCCCGTGGCAAGGCCATGGGCGGCCACGGATCGGAGAGCGGCGCAGACGCCGAGCGGATGACCGTCCTTTGCACAGAGCCAGTACGCACGTGAGGGAATCCAACATGAGAAGGTGGCGACGTCCGAAATTCTTCATAGATCGGCACACATGTTTTACTGCAGCAGTGAGGCCCCGAGCCTCTCCCTGAACGATGTTGAAGATGGGGACCTCCCATTTCTTGCTCATCAGCACCGCCCACCCCCTCTCCTTCAAGACCTCCGGCAGATCCGAAAGGGCGTCCTCCCTCTCCTGACTGTCCTCCTCCACCTTCTTCACCCAGTCGCCGATGTCGAGCTCCCCGTCAGGCCCCAGAACCCCTTCACGAGATCTGACCTGAGCCTTACCCGAGAACCGCCACCGTTCACTGACACGCCCTAGTTGTTGAACTGTGTCCGGAGGGAGGTCCCGTGAGACGACGCCGTAGCCCCAGAAAGAAGCGTCTGATGCCATAACCTTCGAACTCCACGGAGCCCCAAAATCACAACGAATCAAGGGAATGACGTTCCTGAAGGCCTCGAGCTCCCAGCGAACAGAGTCCCAGAGCGGCACGGTACCGTGGTCGCGATGACGAGCGATGAAGGTGTAGACGGACTGGAAGATGGAGAGCGACGTCCGACTGAGGAGGGCTAGGAAGGTGCAGTGCCCCACAACTTTCTCGATGTCGCGGGCGGACACCCTCCTCGATTCTAGCAAGCCGTCCAGCGCAAGACGTATGCGCCACGCACGCTCAGGCCGCGGTCGAATGAAGCCCAGTCTTCCGTTGATTTCCCACCCAAGGACCTCCTCCTCCAGGAGCTCGTGGATACCTCGTGTGTCGGAAGGCCCCGGGACTGCAGAGCTTCATCGACCTGACGCACCAGCCGCTCGACTGTCGATCGGCAGGTGCCCAGCGCCAAAAAATTGTCAACGTAGACGGTGTGGCACGCGGGGGTGGTCGCAGGCGCTGGCCCTCGGCCGTGTAGAAACGAGGTCGGCTCGAGGCCCGGAATGTCCTGGATGATGCGGCGATGCAAGGTCTGACAAACCCGCAGTGCGCGTGGCCAACCCATGGGGTGCACTCGAAGCCGCGGATATACAGGGGTGCCCGGGCTCACTATCACGCCGCCCACCTCGGCAAGGCCAGCCATCCAGGCCGGCGCCGCCGGCGGCGCGAACAAGTTGCGCACGCGCTCCGGCAGCTCGAAGTGGTAGAAGGCATCCTTGATGTCCACGTGGCCGACGCGCAGCCGCGCCCCGTCCGGCACCTCTAGGTTCCCGAGGCCAGCTCCCGCGCTGAGCTCGACGGGGTCGGCGGCCGAGAACCAGCAGTTGGAGCGGCGGCAGTCGACGACCAGCCGCTGGCTCCCGTTTTTCTTCCTCACGAAGAAGAGCGAACAAAACTCCTGCGGCTGGATGGCGTAGTCGATCATCCCGGCCCCCTCGAGCCTCTTGACCAGCCGTCGGTATTCATGCGGAGAGTTCCGAAGCACCTCGTCCATGTAGGTCCCCCGAGGGGCCCCCTTGAGGTTGGAGGAGGCTGCTTCTGGTTCGAGAAGATGAGAGTCAAGAAACCCGTCGACTTCAGCTTGACCACCGGCCCCAAAAAGATCTGCCAAGGGGGCGGGGCGACTTCCGCTCATCGGCAGGGAGGCCTTCATGTCGTCGAAGGGCACCACGGTGGACTGGACGTCCTCGTGCACCGTGCACCCCCGGAGCTCCTG